ATAACTCATCATTACTCTGTTATGAAATTGTTGAATAGAAACGTACTCTGGATGCCATATTAATTTTATATGTAAATAATAAGGCGGATCGGCACGAACGCAATGAAGTGAATAAAGAGTAAAATTAAAAAAGATGAATATTTGAACATGTAAAAAATTTTGACAAAAATAAATGTATGTGGACAATGTGCTCTGAAATAATAGGGAGAAAAAAAATTCTGAATGTCAACTAAAAAGGTAAAAATTGTGAATGACTAACAAATACACTAGAATTCATATATAAGGACTTCGCTTTTAACGACTAACGTCGGGCAATGTTTTGTTTACACAACCTACACACCAATACAATTGAAGAAAAAGTGCAATAATACAGCGATTAGATGCCGGTGAATCAAATGCAGCCCTCGCACAGGAGTTTGGCGTATCTTATTCTACAATATCCACAATTAAGTAGAATAAAGATCGAACCGCTGTTTAATGCCACAATGTTTTGAAATGCAAATTGCAGTTCATCAAAATTTTACATTGTGTTACCTTTGTTAATTATTTCAGTATATGCTTGTCAATTGTAGTAAGAACTTTCTGAATTTCAATTTGGTCCACTCAATGCACGTTAGAAGAGGGTGAGAGTGTTCAATTACAATAATAATCTCGTGGTGTAAACACTGAGACACGCAGATCGTAAGAATTCCAAAATCTCTTCCTAGATTTGGCAAACTGTATTTTGTGATTGATAAACTTTACTTCCCCTGGGAGATACAGAAGTTAGTATGCTTACCTACTAAATACACATTATGAAGCTCTGAAGTCAAAAACCCTGGCACTCTAAAACAAATTTATGGACTAGTTTAGCTGTTTCAAATAAAGTGTACTTACAATCATCAGCAATTCTTTTGAAGAACTCTGGCCAATGAAAGTTGCCTTCTTCATTACGAAAATAACATGCCACAGACAATTTCTCTAGAGTACTACAGGCAGTGTAAAACTGGGTGTTTGAACACAAATTTTCTTTTGGAATATCTCTAAAATGGCAGGTTAGGACATCCTTCAATGGTGTTGTCACACCTCCACGTTCTGTCAGTATCTTGAAAAAATTTAATTTAATATGGAATTTCTACATTCAGAACAAATGATCATTTCTAAATAAATAGATTATTAAAATATCTGTATTCGTAAAATATAAATCAGACAATTAACTGCTAAATTCTGAAGTAAAAAACAACAAACCAGAGCGGGTGGATACTCAGCAAATAGAGATAGTAGTCTGGAAAAATGAAAATCATCTTCAAATTGAGATAAAGTGAATTCTCCGATAGAAGTTTCTACAAAGCATACACCCAATGTACAGGATCCCGAAGATTCCTAAAAAGAAGTTTACTTAATGAAAACATGTTTTATTTTCAAGATATAGCTTTACCTTCATACATATGGCATACATATAATTTGGCAGTGAATTGAGGGGCTCCGACATCTGAGCAGTATACACACAAGTTGCTTTTGCAGATATTTGGCAAATTTCTCTCTTAACTACTTTATCGAATTTAGTAGTTTTTTTCAAAGTTTTACATCTGGCCGACATCATTTCAGGAGTCTCTGTCTGTTCCACCCTTGCAACTTTATATCCTTTTTCTATGAGTGCTCTTGTCATTTTCTGATATGCACTTTCAGGAAAACCAGAATGAGCAAATTCACCCTAAAACAAAATTTCAAGTCAGAAAGACTTCATAACTGAAATCAAAAGGTATAACTCTTCACATCCCATGCTTGGAAGTTATTTTGCTTAGATATTACTGTTTAATTTTTTATGTATAAATTTACATGTTAGGTTAGACCTCGTTAGTCCTTAGCTCGCACAAGTTTCTTAACTTCTGAGAGTTGTCGTTCGTATGGGGGCGACAGCTGATTAACGGAAAAACAGATTTCAAACAGACAAATAACAAATTGAACTAGAAAAATTAGGAATAAAAATTTAGCATCATATATTTGTAGAGAGGAAAATAAACATGGAGGGTCAGCTATTTATTATTAAAAAGGCATAAAGTGCAAATCTTTAAAAAATATAGTAAATATATCAACAAATAGTGATTTCGAATGCTTAGCAGTGGAAGTTGCCTTACATGAAAAAAATAATAATTATTGTTAAGCAAACCAAATTAGAGTTTTATTTATCACTGGAAACTTTAATATAGAACTCAAGGGAAAAATAAGATAAAATCAGATTTGCTAACATTGACTCAGTGTTTTGATATTTATATAACANTAAATACTTTTGACCTTGATCCACGAAAAAAGATAAAAAAAGAATAGTGACAAGCTATTTACATATTGATGAAAAAGGGGCAAACATGATGGGGTAATATCTTCACATAAGCTCAAGTTTTAAATTAAAATTTATAAATCTAAAATTTAGCCTGTGAAACCAAGGCTCGCATTTTCCCTTCACCTTCAAACTGTTCAAATTATTTCAATTTTTTCGAAATTATTTCAAACATACCTTCATGTAAGAAAATCCTAGCTGCCTAACGCCAACAACGGCATCCATGTGATAAAGTTCATAAAATTTTCCAACCTTGAAAAATAGCACTGCATCCATGTGTTGGCTCTTCAGCTCCCACCATTGTCTCATGGCAGGAGTCAAATCTTTGAGGTAACTTTCTGGTACATACAGAGTTTTAGGATCATAACCAGGATCATTAGGTTTATTCTTATTAGCATCTTTAATTCTATCAGGTTTCAAAAACTCTAAATTGTTATGAACCCAATTTGAGTTAATGTCCACAACTTCAGTGGCCACTTCTCTTAGTCTTCTTACTGGATTTTGTTCTGGTTTTTCTACACTGTCAGATGTGTTTCTCTGAAAACTAAACTCCTTTAGTGTACTTTCAGAACTTGTCAATGAACCAACTTTCATTGGTTTCTGGTCTTCACTTTCAGAACTAGACGATAGAGGATTATTAGTTAGTTTTTTCTTCTTTCGAGGTTTCTTAACAGGAACGTCTTCGTCAGAATCCGAAGAGTCTGCTATTACAGAGGCTCTACTGCGCTTCAAAGGTTTACCTGAATTTTTTAAAAACCTTTCATATCAAAAACTGAATCCATTCAACAACATTGATTCAAAGCTAGAATTGAAGGCAATTAGCATGAAAATCTAGGTTTTTACCAATAGAAATTATTGTTTTGAAGGAACAATTTATTCATCATATACATTTGAAAAAAATATAGACTGTTTTTAAATGTTTCATAATAATTGATTGTCATCATCAGTTGAATATGAGATAACCATTGTTGCATATTCAAGAGTGAGAATACTCCTAATAAAGAGAACTGAATACGTTGACAAAACCTCAAAAGAAACAATGAAATGGAAACACTCAACAATACCAAAGAAAACAGCAATACAAAAAACACTGTTTTCAATTATATGTCGAAATTATATTATAATTTTGTTTGATCTGCATTTTCATTCAAGTTAGAATCCAATGAGAACCAATGTTTACAATCATCCAAAAATCATTCAGAATTTGTTTCTGGGCAGGTAAGTGTTCAATAATTGACTACAGTAGCTTTTGCAACATTTCATTGTTTATATATTTACTCGACGTATTAGTACCTAACCATATATGGTACAGATCATCATTAAAGTTTTAAAATAGTAACAGAGTTGGAGCTTGAATTTATTTGAAAGGTTCACGACTGAGATTTGACTCTTAAACACTACTTCCAATAGACACATTCTTCAGAAAATAAACAATAATAAAATTAAAATATATCCAAAACAGAATAAAACAGCAGCTTCAAAAGACATACTCTAATTCCAAAATAGTAGGCACTAAATTCTCAGAAATGGCTGACATTTTTGCCTTAATCTGTTTCTTGCAGTAACATATGGAAATTATACTAAACAATGAGGAAAAATGATGATAAAATATATAGAATCACAACCTTGACAAGCATGTTTTTGTTTTAATGCAATATACTTCTGAGGTTTTAGCACCTACAATTTTGAAATTGTACTATAACATAAGGTTTCTTTGGTGACTAAAACAATTTGAAATCAATGGTATTCTTCAGAAAATTGCTTTGAATTTTTTGCCTATTGTCTTTGACTGTTGACAATTTTTGTTGATACTGAAAATACAATTTTCTCTACCCTTACTTTTTTGGTTGTCTTCGCTAGATGCAGCCATAGTTTCCAGAGTCTGTCCTTCAGAGCCTGAAAGCATAGTGGTTCTATCCTTTTCTTCAGTAATACATGAGGCAACAGATTGAGGATTATCATTAGGCATTTCTTGGGAAAGCTCTCTTCTTGAGATACTCTGTTCTGTAAATGGAGAAAGCATATTGGAAGGTTCAGTAATAAGTGGGGTAGGACACTTTCGGGTTTCCTGTGGGATGACAAACAGTTTTCAACAAGTGATATTGGATGATGATATGAAATTACTAGTCATGAATAGACAAAAAAACCATTCTTTGTCAGAAAATCACAGGATCAAAAGTTGCTTGTATGTCCTGAAATTCGACTTACCACCAAGTTGATTTCACCAGAAATTGAGTGTAGCTATATATCGTCTTCATTGTTTATTAACAGGAAAACTGTTTTTCACAAATTGAATGGAAAGACAAAAAACAAATGGAAGATTCAAGTAGTTTTCACAACATTCCAGGTAGTTTTAGTAATAAAATGAAAATGACATCAACAGATATCATGAAGGAACATATATTTGGGAGACATTTAATATTATTGCAAAATCCAATATCATTTTTGATGGTGAATACATAATAAAAAAACAAATTTTTCTACCTGGAGTTCCAACCCCATTTCCAGTGTTATGTGTACCACTTTTTGTAGCCTTAGGTGACTTGAAATAATTATATAGAGTATTAGACTGTCGCTTAGACATACTATTTTGAATAATACGACACTATCAAAATTCAAAAATAAACAATAAACACAAAAACCGGTAAACCAAAAATACAGCCGGCACTTTTACGCGGTTAAATCACAGATTCACTGTTGCAGAAACAGAATCACATCAAATCACAAATCACAAGCACATGTGTCACAAGTATGTATAATGCTAAAAGATCCAGTAGTCCAACTATCCCCAATTTTTGGTAATAAATCACAGCGCGCATGATCGAATCGTAGCAGCTAGTTTTTCAAAGCGCGATAATCGGCAACGTTTTCATGTCTAAAATTTTTCATGCAATTTAAAAGAAAACCTAGCACGTGAATTATTTTGAAAAATATATGAATCAACGTTGTTGAAGAACCTTGTGTTAGATTTGGAAGGGTTATATTTTTAGGAGTGATTAATTTTTGGAACATTCTCTCATCCATTTTTTTGTTGTATCAGATGGAGTAGTAGAAAGCCAAAAACTTTCTTTCCCAAAAACCTTGTTAAATCTGTACCAAAAAAGAAGGCGCCAGCAAGAAAAAGTACAGAAAAGAGAAAATCTTCGGGAGTAGGTAATAATACCAAGTCTAAAGCATGTTCCGGGGGATGTAAGTCCTGTTGTTCCAAAAATAAAAGCAGCAAAATAAATAAGGTGTGTCCCTCGATATTTCGTATTGAATTCTGTAAAGAAAATGATAATGTTTCACGAAATTGGAAGACATTGTTTTACATTTTATATGAAATATTACTTTTCTCAAAAATTCAATAAAATTATAGTAATGTGTTGATTTGAATTTACTTCACAGACTTCATTCCAAAGAAGGAAGTCTCGCTCCTATGAATCGTCTTTCGATTCGGATTCATCACATTCATCTGACTGCTCTTGCTCAGACTGCTACTCCTATTCAGATTCTTCTTCAGAAAGTGACGACGCGTGCTACCAGGGTCGAAATAAGGGCAGATGTTATAAAAGGTAAAACACTAGCTTTGGGTGGCATGTTTTGCTGTTAGTGCTTAGAAGACTGCTGGGCAGTACCGTCATTATTCGTCGGACGCATTTGATGTAATTTTTATTTCTTGACTGTATTATTAGTGTTAGTTTTTGAATGTAATACTTGTTTGTGATGTATTATGATATATGTTTAGCATTTTTTATAGATTTGACTTACTTAGTATATGGTTTTGTTATGTTTACGTCTTTGAAATTGGAAAATATGGAATATAATGTAATATGGAACTGATATGTAATAAATTATTTTGAGACTTCAATCGACTTATTCAAAATATACAAAATTTTGTGGATGAATGATTTTTTGAATGAATTTTCAAAAGATATAACTTACAGAGTATGAGTAGCGTAGGCTATGTATAGACTTCAATAATGAAGCAACAAATAAAATCTGTAAATATTTTACGCATTCGTTTACAGGAAGTTGAATTTTGGAAGCATTATATGGAATTGACATTATAATTTCAATAAGTTGACATCAGAAAGACTTCAAAACCAAATTTGTTATATTTCTTCACTTTGAATTAACAGAATTTTAAGTTTATCTTGCTACAGAAATAAGTGAAATCCGGTCTTGATATGATATTCCACCTCTAGAACAACGTGAATTAATTTTTGTTTTATAAACATTAGTAAGTTAACAGTTATATTTATGTATGTCTTCTCCATCATTATTGATTGTCAGGCCACCAAATGTTTTTTGGTATTGTAAAATTTGTTGGTGGATATTTTATTTGGTTTTACTTGTTTGTATCCTAAATTGCAAATAAATAAATGAAAAGTACATAGGCAGGAAATAGGTATTTAAAAACTGACTTTCATGGATTTGAACTAACACCATCGTGAATAAATGTAGGTAATGGTAAGTATATATAAATTTATTATTACTGTGACAATTTTTCTCAATAAGTAATGATTCAATCTGAATTTGAAAATATCAATATTTGTGGCATTCAGGGTGGAACGGAAGTGAAAGAGACTTGATTATTCGTTTGGATCATTCGATAATAATCAACTAGAAAATGATTTACTCGATAATCTGTAAGTTTTTAGTGGTATAAAATGAAAAACTTTAAACTTGAGAGCATAAGACTTAAGACTGGTGTGCATGAATCCACCCTTATTCTGAAGTATTGCCTATTTTCACTTTAATATTTCTTAGGAAGTGGCTTTTACAATGTTTTTGGCATTTTTGAAAAATGGAAGAATAGTTACACTTGTAGATTATATAGGATAATGGATAATTTTTTAGTATTTCTGTTTTTCAAAAACTTATAATAATAATAAATATAAAGAATTTTCTAACGAGTACAGCACGTAACTATAGATAATACTTAAAAACTAATTTTCCGAAAATTATAAAGTATTGTAATGTAATGAATAAAAAGTACATCAGTGGATTACTTTATAGATATAATGCCTCGACCAATATCATTTAATTGTAAGATTTTCGCCAGGATTGTTTCAATTATTATTGTTGATCAGGATGTAGAAATTTAAAGTAATTTTTCTATTATTGACAATCAACATTTCTGGAGTCAATTGTATAATTATGTATTGTACAATTGTACAACGTTTGGTAAAATTGTATCACGGTTAGTTATATATAATACTAATAAACCTATCATTTTATAAGTTATGTTGGTTAAAGCATAAGCTAATCCTAAGAACTTTACGTTAGTAGCTTTTTTTCGAATAGAATGACTCATTTCATATGTTTACTTTAGCCCACTATCAATAAAAGACGAAGATAGATCGGACGATAGAAAATAGGGAATAGGGAACATGCTTGCCTCAGTTTAAAAAAAATTTGATTGCGACAAGTATGTGAAAACTGTGAACATTTTTTAGAGTCACTAATAATAACAAAATTGAAAATGCCGCATTCTCAAACCCTCCGGAAAACATATCCTTGGCGGTATCTGGTGGACAAATGGATTTTTACTTCTTTTAATACCAATTTTTCACAGAGAGGGCGATCCAGTTGTAAAAATTTTAGTATCCCATGCTTCCTGAGGACTAGAGTTATTTGTGTTGATCGGAATGTAGAAATCTGAAGTAATATTTTATTATTGTTGATAACTCATCATTACTGGAATCGAGTATATCATCATTGATAATTAAGTATAATTGTAATCGGGTTTTTCTGAATGTTTATAAAATAACCATGAGTGGCGCTAGCGTTTGGGATAAATTATTCGAATTCAAGGTCAAATAGAGTTCAAATTTTAATATTTAAGAGAAAAGAACGTTTACTGACTGTTTGAGATATCTGAGGACTGAGGACCACCTTAATTATTTATTGAGAGCAAAAAATGCGAGTGCTTCAACTTTGTACCAATAAGAAGTACCAGAACAATTTTTGTAAAAGCAACTTTCTGATAGGATCAAAGAACATTTCAGGAATATTTTTGTTGTCGCTGATTTATTATTTATGATGAATGGACCCGACAGAAATAACTTTTCTCTGAAAATTGTTGGATAAAAACTACCAACTAATTCCAAAATTAGTTGAACAATGTTCTGAAAAATTTAAAACAAGAAACATTAAAATTGAACTTTTGCTATTTGTTTTTATTAGGGTAGCCAATAGCATAAAACGAAATGCCTCCTCTTTTGTCAAAAGAAGAAACTTTGGATGGAAATGAAAAACCGATTTGTTCGAGGTGTATGGAAAGGAGAAAATGCACCAAGTTCCTATTGATTCATGAATTTCCTGGTGTTTTAGTGATTCATGTAACGACGAAAATATTAAGAGGCAAATTAAATGGTGTCATCGACTTTCTTTGAAAGGAGTTGATATGAACAATTATGCAGCATAGAATGTGGTTCCTTGTCGTTATAATCTATATGCACTTTCAAATCACAGTGGGACTATTTACAACGGACATTACACATCATACTGCAGACGCCCCTACACCGGCACATGACACGATGACAACGATTCACACGTGTACTCAATTACACCAAAATTGTTTTGAGTTGAGAGACATATATATGTATGAACAGAATGGAACGAAGTCGCACCTGTTAAGTATTTTTTTTATTAAATAAATTCAGTGAATTGATTTGTATTTGATAGTTCTAATGAAATATATATTCATTTTTATTAGTAACTGAATTCCAACGAATCTATTTAGAATGTATAATACCTCGTAATTTTATATCCTAAAATACAAAATAAACTTATGAGTTCCGTGGAAATCATTCGTAAGTTTTAGTGCGATAAATATAAAACGTGTGGCTACCCTGACCGATCGGTTCTCGGGTGCGGCATGCGCTGCTAGAGGTAATATTGCAAGTGAGCATAGTAGTGACTGGTGACAAATTAATACCATGAATTGTAGGTACATAATCTTTAATAACAAGCAATAAAGATTGTTTCATTTAGGCATCAACCGTTTGCATATAACGGTATAGCGAATACGGTAAGTTTGAGAAATCTGGCGAAAAACATTGAGAAACGTGATCACTTTCATCTCAAACCAGTGTTAAATAAATTTTGTATCATAATGGATTGTAGTTGTTGAGCCATGACAGTTTGAATTCAAGTGTTTGAAAACCGATTTGAACGATAAATGTAAACTCATTTTGTGAAGTGGTTGAAAGCGAAAAATCGCCTGGAAGTGGAGAACTGGATAAACTGTTTACCGCGTCAACGTATGTACTCATTTTACAAATATGTGATGTAGAAAATTTGGGATGTAGGGCATTGTTATTCACTGACCCCTGTTATATATTGGCGGTAGAAACAATGAGCGTTGTACTTTTCTAATACATGGAGTAGTTTGAAGTGAAAATTTCAGAAATGAGGCATGCATGTATCACTTTGACAATAACCTCATCACCACATTCTATCTATTAGAGCTTCCTGTTCAATTGTGGTTGGAATAACCACTGGATTCGCTTTGGTAGACCCTACTTCCAATATTAAACGAATCTTTCATTTGGAAATTGAATTGTTGTGTTTCTTATACTGGCCTTTGTTTTCAGGTAGTTTATAAAAATGCGTGAATACAAGATCGTAGTGTTGGGATCTGGGGGTGTGGGAAAATCAGCTTTAACTGTTCAGTTCGTGCAAGGTATATTTGTAGAAAAATATGACCCAACAATAGAAGATAGCTATAGGAAACAAGTAGAAGTCGATGGACAACAATGTATGTTGGAAATTTTAGATACAGCAGGAACGGTAAGTTGAACAATGATATATCTCTACCTAGACTTGCACGAAATTTTAAAGTATTTTTCTTGAAACTTATATATTTTCAATGATCAGGAATTTGAGCCCAAAAATCTGAAAAATTTATTATTTTGGGGTGCTCATATTTGCCAGACGAAATTTTTAAAACTGCAGCTTTTTTCGCAAACTCATGTACTGGAAATTAATTCAGTTGTGTAATAAGATAATCACAGTTGGATTGTTGTATGGTAGAACTTCAAATCTTCCATTGCCTAAAAGGATTAATTGATTTGAAACTTAGGAAAGGAAAGAAACAATTTTTTCTTCATCACTATTATCTTACAACTCTGGCTACGACAGTCCAAACATCTTGCAGTCGTTATTTCACTTTGCTACACTTATTGTTGCTACTCAAAATTCACTACCCATGTTACCTTCCATTCTGTTTGAAACCAGGTGACAAATTCTCAAAGGTTTTGTTGACATTATTACACTAAGATTGCCAGTCATAATTGAGATAAAGTTTTGAAATCTGGCAACATATTATTATTCAAAACAAAAAATAATAGTAAAGTCTGCAGTGGAATTAATGTGAAGTGTCAGTGTCTTTTGAATGAAGAATTATTTTTTCAAGTAGGCAAAAAATTGATTTTTTGAAACAAGAGTGAAATTTCGTGCCAGCAAGGTCAATGAAATATTCATTTCAGCAACAGCAAACTAGTTCTAAAATTATAATAATATTTCAGGAGCAATTTACAGCAATGCGAGATTTGTATATGAAGAATGGTCAAGGATTCGTTTTGGTATATTCTATAACTGCACAATCAACATTTAATGATCTCCAAGATCTCAGAGAGCAGATTCTTAGAGTGAAGGTAAGGAAACAATCAAATGAATTTTCACATAAATTGGTTCCCTCATTGCTACTGATGAATCATTGATGGCAGTTCAGGTTACAGGCCAAGACTATTCGTTTAATTGGCAGATGTTAGTACTGGTTTATTCCAATCATTTCTCTCTTTTATTGCCATTAATATCTCAATTAATTGGAAGACTTTTAATTTCAAAGATTGTAGATTGAGCATTAACAGTCAAAATTGTGCATGTTATTTGTTAGTTTTCTTAAAATTTTTTTTTAAATATGTATTTTCATCAAGTATCGGCCAGTTCTATTCAATTTTACAGGAATTGACAAATTTTAGATTTTGTACATTATTCGAAAATTATCTACACAGTTAAAATCAATGAAAATCAGTGACACACATACATACATAGTATGCAGGGTTCTCTTTCTGAGTATTCATCTGTTAAATGTTCTTAGAACGCCAAAATTACTGCTCCTACTTCATGCAACTATAGCAAGTTGAACCAGTAATTTCAGGATGAATCCTACCCTAATACTCGGCTTATACAGGTGGCGAGTAGCATTGTTGTGACAAAATATTGAAAATAAACATGAAATATTGAGAAATTATCATGGAAATTTTGAAAAAAAATGTCAGTCTAAAATTACAATAGGTTATAATGGAATTCCATCCTTCTTTCTAAAAACTGTTTTTTTACCATACAATTATCTATTATGTTTTCAACCTAGCTCTCTGAAAATTAAGTTTTTCCAAAGTCTGAAATAATGGTAACGTTTTTCTTATTTTTGAAAAGGACAGAACCATAGTTGAGAACTACAGGTCAATTGTAATATTCTGCAGTAAATTTTTCGAAGTGGTTATGTGATGTTATATATGCCAGTTCAATATATCCCATATATGCCAGTTCAATATATCCCAGTTCACTGAAAATCGGCACATTTTCAATAAAGGGCGGTCAACGGTGACTAACCTGGCCTGTTTTTCTCAATTTATATCTATTGCTGAGGAGGTGTATTCTCAGTGAGGTGTCATTTACACAAGATTTCTTCCAGGCTTTCGACAGGCTGGACTATGGTATTCTTTTCAGTCAGCATTTTCTTTCGGACCAATTGAAGGGTTTATTCATATCTCAGTCATACTTAAAGTCATCGATAAATATCCCTTTGTTCAATACCTTTGTTTCAAGTCTGTTGAAATTGTAACATCTTCTGGTGTTCTGCAAGGCCCTGTACTGGGTCCTTTGCTATTCATATTTTTAATGAATAATGTATGTTGAGATGTAGACTCTGAAATCCATTTTTATGCAGAAGATTGTAAGATATTTCGTTACATTATCACTGAATGGCTGATTGAACCTATATACAAAGTGATAACCACAAGCTAAACATCTGGTGATAAGCAAATATTCTTTCTTTTAATAAAGTGCTATATAACTTCATACAGTCATAAAGAATCATCAATTTATGTATGTATCTTATGAGTAGGCACATTCTACAAAGAATGACAATTCAAGGCCCTAAGCATCATATTTGATTAAAAATTTACATTCATGTCCCACACAAACTCTTCTCGATCAGCGTTTCACCATTCAAGAATATGGGATAAGCGTTTGTTTTTAATTTATTCTGTGCCAGAGGTTCCATTTCTACATTTGAGACCGTTTATGCTTTATTGAATTTTCGGTGAACAAAGAAGTTCTTTTATATTTGATATTAACACACTTTCCATAATGTAACCATATATACAGATGACAGGTTTACCATAAAATCAATGTTGATCTCAGTTTCATAAAAATGCCAGGTGATGGGTTTCTGAATTGATAAATACTTATAAATTTCTACTTCTTTTCTGACCATTTATTACTTCAAAAATATCATTTGCTTATTAATAATACTAGGTATTTACTCGGTTTCATTTAAATATCTTGCACCTGGAGGTGAAGCTGGTATTGTTGCATATGTGGAGAATGTTATGTTTTGATGAGTAGCTTGGCTTGAGGGAACATTAGACTTGGATGGGAGGTTGGTAGGAATGGTCCGAAGCTGCTTTAAGGAAGGAAAAAACAGACTGACCAACAAAATGTTGGTTTAAGCTGATTTCGAACCTCCCCCCCCCCATCTCCACTTTTAACCTTTGAATTAGTGTTTTGGATTTGACCTTGAATGACTTTCAACTACGTCACACGACGGAGAGGAGATTGCTTTGAACTAGTGTTTTGGGTTTGACTTCAAGGATTCGACCTTGAACGACCTTCAATGTGTGGACGGGGTGGCTTCTGGACTTTTTGCTTTGACTTTGAACAACTATCAGCAACATCACATTGACAATTTAAGAGCTCGATGTGTTATTGATTGACCATGAACACCCAGCTTGTGGTAAACAAGCCACCCTCCTATAACTTGAGTTCTATAAATGTTCTGAGTATCAAAATTTCACATTCAGTTTGAATAACCCAACGTATTGTTGATGGATGCTAGCATCATATTTATTGGATACAGCAATGTTTTTATTCTTACAATAATGTGTGTCCAAATCTAATTCACTTTGCAATTAATAAAAAGGTTGTTACTGCTGGTGCTAGGGCTGCTTTTATCTTAAAAGCTACTCACTACCAAAAGCGAAAAAAAAACGTGGTAGTAGAGATACTTTTTGAAAAATAGAACAAGCCTTATCGATCCTTTCATGTCTGAATTACTTTACAATGGTAGTTGTTTCGCTATTTCGTCACGTTAATCAACTCAGATTTCGAAGATAATTTCTGTTGGTTGCTCTCAGAATCTCCAAAAGCAAAACGTAACTATCTCTTGCCGTTATTTCTCCGTCAGCATGGCTGCACTTCATTCCGTTAACTGTTTAAAATCTGTTTTTCCGTTAACCAGCTGTCGCACCCCTACGAACGACAACCCCCAGAAGTTGAAACTTGTGCGAGCTAAGGACTAACGAGGTCTTACCTTTTAACGAGTGATTCCTAAAACGGGTTGGACGATAGCAAGTGAAAATCGATCGTTCAGCCTGGGGCTTGAACCACCGACCAACACGGCGGTCGATTTTAGTGAGTGAACAAAGTACCCACGTTGAACCGACCGGCTACCGACCGACTTGTACCTTATTGACGAGATACGTGTTAGCAATACCAATATCATCAAGTTGCCAACATTTTGTTGGTCAGTCAGTACTTACCCTTTTAGGTTTCTGCATTGAAGGTCTACTTTTCACGTTTTTTTTTAAACAGATATTCACTTATTCAATTCTATTTTGCCCCCTTCAAAGTAGTACTCCTCAGATATAACACACATGTGCCAGTGTTTTTTTTTTCAATTCACGAGGCAGTTCTGATATGCATTTGTTTGTATATCCTTGAGCGGTCCTTTCATGGGTCTCTTCAATCTTGAGAACAGGAAAAAGTCGCAGGGGAGCAAATCTGGTGAATACGGTGGCTGAGGCATGATTACGGTGTTGTTTTTGGCCAAAAGATTACGAACAAGAAATGACGAGTGAGCAGGTGTGATTCAGGTAACGTGATGCAAAAGCCATGAATTATTTTTCCACAATACTGGACGTTTTCTTCGTATTGGTTCCCGCAAGCGGCGCAAAACTTTAATATGATACTCTTCATTGACCGTACGACCATGTGACAAGAACTCCTGATGCACTACGCCACGGTACTCGAAGAAAAAAGTGAGCAAAACTTTGACATTTGATCGAACTTGACGTGCTTTTTTTGGTCTTGGCTCTCCTGGGCTCTTCCATTGGGACGATTGGACTTTGGTTTCGATGTCATAACCACACACCCATAATTCGTCACCAGCTATGACCCTTTTAAGAAAAATCTGAATCGCCGTTGATGTCATTCAACCACTTCTCTAACAATGCTCAGGCGACGTTTTTTTTTGTCAAAATTCAGCAATTCTGGAACGAACTTCGCTGCCCTACACGCTTCATTTTCCGAAAAATTGCATGGCATGAAACAACCGATATGCCGACATCCTTAGCAACTTCTCTAATAGTGATTTGACGATTCTCCACAACAATATTCTTCACTTTCTCAACATGTTCATCGGTTGTTGATGTTCTGAGGCGTCGTCATTCACAAAAAGCTTGTACAACTTGTAAACATCATCGTATGTCACTGTCAACATTCCGAGTGTTTTTGAGCACTTAACTCCATTTTTGCACAAAATTTGATGCGAATTTTTTTATCCATTTATTTCGATAGCAGAAAATCGCCGAACACGCAAAACACTGCTAACTTTCATGCCTCTCACCAACAACTGTAACTGAGAACATATGTTCAAGATGAGTGTACCAACATTAAATTAAAAAAAAGCTAATCGAATGTACGCAGCTCGCGAAATTTGAACATTCGCCTTGTTCGGTGTTACTATCTTCATTCGGATTTGAAGGCAGTCGGGTTTGAAGGTCGTCGTAGTTTAGAACCTGCAGTTCCAAACTACGACGGCCTTCAAACCCGAATGAAGATAGTAACACTGAAAATTTCTGCCGCGAAAGCCTTAACCAATTTATCATTCACCTTATTTTTTGAACAGACCTCGTATATCCCAAAAATTTTGTTTTGCCATGCAATAAAATAACAAACATTTTTTATTGACTGTACTATATATATAAAATATACCGGTTTCAGAGCCATCAGCCATATTTTATGGTCCGGTTTTATTATACACTCCTTTTTTATCATTTTGTCCACTAATAAGCTACTTGGAGAATAATTATTGTTTCAATTCAGCGTGTCGAGTTGATTTGGATGTATTTTCTCTCATTTGTTCATTTCTTTAAAACTTGACAATGTCAAACCAGAGTATTTTTCTATGTTTTTTACTTTACTTTACACTTTTATTTGTAACTAACGTTACTGCAGTATCGTCCTATAAGGACATTTTCAAACTTATATTGAGAAAAAATGTTCACTTATTTATTACTAATCTGTGTTATTTATTATTGTATTATTTATTTATTCATTTACTGAACGACTACGGGTACAAACAGAATAA